TTGAAACAGTATTTATTTAATTAAACAGTATTTATTTAATTAAACATTTTCAGAAACTTGATGGCTTAAGAAAGAGTAAAATGTCTCGACTTTTAATAGACTTCCTAATAGAATCTTGAATTTCTATGACATGACATGCAATTCGTTGACACAGTCATCTCTGACCTTGAAGAAATATGTTTTTTTTCTGATTTTTCCTTGACTGTGGCAACTGATTTATTAATGTAATATGTTAAATCCTTTCAGGCAAAAGAAAATTAAATACACTCAAAACTGTTCTTCACCATCAGTTTCTGCTATGTACAAAAAAATGATAACTGTTTATATATATACATATATATATATATATAGGAAGTCTGTGTTTTGATTTTTCCGTTTTACAGCCACCCCAAGTGATCTCACACATGTGGGATCATCTAAGCCATGTCAGAGTGCTCAAACTAGAAAAACTAGTGAGCATGCATATATATATATATATATATATATATATATATATAAGTGAAAGAATCAAAGAGGACGCATTGATTCTCTGTTACTCTAAGTTTCACGCCTAAGCGCTCGTCAGACAGAACTTTATTCAATGAAGAACATACCTCCTTATATACAAATTAGATGAGTAGCTAATTAATTTACTAGTGTGATGATCTGATCTACGTGTGAAATAAAGATTCTATAGAGCTATTGTTGGCGGCTTGTGAAATTTGCTGAGTAAAACTTATTCTCGTGGCGGCACTACAGCAACAAAAGCAAACGGTGCCACTTGTGCCTCACAGAAAAACTTTATTTAGTTAGAGCTAAGAAACCGTCTTTATTAAACAAAAGAACAGAACTCATTTCTTAGTGCCGCCACGAGAATAAGCTTTCTGCTGTCTCCAGTCCCCTGTTTTTCCGGGCGCTCGCCCCCCTGTACCCCTCCTCTAGTGTAGAACAAATACTTCGGGTGACCAAAAGATTTAATCCGGAAAATTGGCCGCACAAAAGCTGACAAGGGATAGCGATTTACGCCTTTACTAGGCTTAAAACTTCATACGTACATTAACGACAAAAGTGTTGAAGACGGAGTCATTTTTAAAGATAGTAACTTACGGCGTAATTTCTTGCAGTCGGTGATGAATATATGTAAGATTTTACGCCAGTAACTAACGGCGTAATTTCTTGCAGTCGGTATATACTGATAAACATACACTTTTTGTCAGCGTACTCTGCTCCACCATGTACTACCCATCCGAAAGTCGTTCCTTCCACGATGGGATCTTCCGAGCGTCCCTTGAATGTTTGCATGGTTCATATCTTGCAGTAGTTGTGATCACCCAGTATCACGTGTATTGAGTACTCTTAATTCTTCGTTTGAATAGCTTGTCTCGGGCGTGTTCGTACCTTGATTTCAACTCCCCGATAATCGGCCTTCTTACGGTTGTGAAATCCGCCAACTCACTCGCAGTGATTTCTATCTGCTCACTTGTCGTGTCGTCCAGGGAATGAAGTCTAACTTTGAATATGGGCATGAAATGTTTTCGAACGCCGTTTAAGGCAACGATTTGGCGCGTTTCATGGCGTGAAGGCTTCAGAGTCAACTTCTTAATTGCGTCTTTGGATATAAAAACTCCTATCAGAGCCTATGTCCAGATATGCCCATAATGTTACGTCTTGAACCCTCAGCAGAATGATGGCAGGCAAGGATCAGGTTAATTAAGGCCTGGGTCACCCTGTCTTTAACCCATATTTTCACAAAATTTAGAATAACTTAGCTATTTTGCGAGAGATTTTTCTCATACTTGGCAGAAATGTGTATCACTGCCATCTCTCTCGGACTGAATTGTGGCAGCGTAATATGATACTCTCAACAGCCAAAAACAGTTAATTTAGGCGCCAAATTCGTCGGTTGCTTTCTTGAGCAAATTCCCACCACTAAACACAAGGCAAATCAAAATGCAGTTATCGCTATGAATATCTGAGACGTTTCTCATTGTTTTCCCACTTGGAATGGCTGCCAAAAAAAAGAGAGATGTGCTAGGCAGATTAAATCAAGTTTTGTCTCTGCGAAGCTGCTTCCTCTATCATGGTTTTCGCCCGAAAACATCTTAGCCTTTACCTGGTTCCAACCGCTATCAACGAAAGTAATCCCACAGGTTCCTATTTATTTGGAAAAAAGACAAATTAAAACTGTTTAAGAGGTGGGAATTTTGAAAACTCGCAGTCACGTAATTCAACTTAGTGTCCGCCATTTTGACACGCGAGTCACGCGAGTGTTCAGAAGCAATAATTTAACGGCTGATAGACTACCAAATACTAATTGGAGCAATCTCAGAAGTAATACAGGCAAACTTTGTACACTTTTGATGATATTTATTTCTTTTTCTCGTTTTCTGAGGTCGATTGCATCTCTGTAAATCCAGGGTCATTACCAGCAATGCGAGTCATATTGCGTCTCAAATACCGTACGTCAATCAAAGATTACTTTCAAAATGGCTTCCCGAAGATACAAAGAAATGTATGGGATCTGAAATAAAATCTTATTTTTTGGCAGTTTAAATAAATTAAATTCTACGTGCCGACCTCTCGTTGATAAATAATATGCAACTGCACTACGAAGCGAAAGTTTTTTCACCGTTTCGTTTATTCGTCGAGCCGCGGAATAGAGGTAAAATAACAAAGATCTTCGGTTGTACTTCCTTTATAGTTTCATCCAAATACCTTCACTTACCTTCACTTCCATGCTTTGAGCTGTCCGTGTGTTTCATGCTTTCATCGGTGCCGACCCCTCAAAATTTTCTTCAGTTTACGATCTTTCAAATACGTTAAATAAAGCCTTCCATGATAAAATAGGAGGCCGCAAATCAATCTTGAAAATAGGGCTTTTTCACTATTAGACGTAACCTTTACCTGAGCTCGCGAATGTCCTGTAGGACGCGAAGAACGACCACTTTCCATCGTTTTCTTCGTGAAAAAAGTCGCCATATTTACTTCAGCTTAGCAGCCTAGCATTTCCACGCTTTTTACCGCTGTTTTAACAATCTGCAGACTCCTACAAGCGCCAAATCGCGCCAATTATAAAAAACAAAACTTGTATCACTGTGAGCTCATTCCAGTCTGAATCGTCAAAAAATGTCTGATGTTTTGCTCGATTTCGAAAAGAAATCCCTAGAATTTCAACTTAAGGTCACTGAATCTCCTCTTTCTTATATAAAACAGCAATGCGTTCAAGAATCTCGAATAGCTCTGGCAATATACATCCCGTATCCAATTTTGATGAAATGGCATGAGCTTGTTGGAATAAAAGACGAGAGAGGAAATGAGTTAAACTACATTGACCTTCTTAATTTTTGGATTCCTGGTCGATGGTTTAAAGTAAGCAAGGAGAACGGATCAAGAATCCACGGAATCCTCCTTCCTTTCAAATGAACTTCTAAATCCACTGTAGAAAGAACATTTAGTGCTTTATAATCAACTCGATTCCTCCGCGGAAATCTACTTCGCTCCATGTTTACATGAAATCTGACGCCATAGCGCATGAACAGTAGAACCTGAAGAAACTACTGACCTCGCGGACCGCGGGAGTAAAATGTCTCGGATTGCTGGTAATGTAGATCGCCTTTGACAGTTCTAATAAAACACAATTGCAAATTTGGGCGGTAAGAATAAAGAACGTTTGTAATTTTATCCCAATTAGTATCATACAACGAGACTGAATTAATTTTGGCGCAAAACTTGAAAGTTATCGCACTGATTCCTTGAAACTCTTCAACTCTTCTACTCGATAACGAGCTAAGTGTATTCGTGTGAAACGAAAATGTCTGTCATTTTTAATTGTGGATTTGCAAGAGTTGCTGTAAAGGAGAGCTTTCGTAAGGTTGGAAGTGCTTCGGTTGAAACTAACCCTAGTGAAAAGTGGAAGAACCATCTTGCAGCGTTCGAGGGTGACAGTCAGGAAGTCTTTGCGGTCGAACGTTCCACCTACGTCAAGAAATCCAAAGCAATTTACAGCTCTTTCCGAAAGATGAACTCAAAAGCCAGGGCCCAGTACCAAGACACGTTTTCAATGGTAAACTGGAAAGCTCTTAATACAGCGCAGAAGAAACAGCACACACTGTCAAATTGTGGAGGTTGTCAAGTGCACTATTATGCCATCCATAATTTTTTCCCTAGTGGAGAAACTTTCAAAACCCGAAAACTTTTAAAAGAGGCCCTTATTGAAAGTGGGGTGAAGACACAAAGTAAAGTGAAACCAACGCAAAAAGCCATTAAAACTGCTGTAAAACACATTTATTCAAAAGTGAATGGCCACTTTGAGAAAATATTTAAAATAAGCTTTGCTGAAGCACAAACAAAAGTGAAGGAACTTCAGCTCCAAAAAAAGAAAGACGCAATTGAGAAAAAGCGGCAGCGTCGAGGGAGAGCACGCCAAGAAAAAAATAAAATCCAATGCTAATGTCTAGTCCATCTGGAGGAGGAGTAATGTTTCTAGTTACTTTGCAGTAATTTGCATGCCAAACAATGAGATCAACAATCTTCACCTTTACTTGTGTTGCAATCTAGCATTTATTTAAGCACACTCTCTATAATATATTTGCCTTCATTTTCCAGTTTTTTAAAAGGAATGCAAGTACCAAATAATCCACTGTAAACTTAATCAATCATACTGAACTTCTTCCAACCAATGGAGAGAATATAATACTGGGAGAAGGATCCTATGGTCGATGCCTTCTGAGACAGTACACACGATTTGATATAAAGGTTGTGGAAAAACAGTCTCTGATGCAGGACACCACAGAGATAATGAAGGAGGCTCACATTATGCAGGCACTCGCACATAAAAATATCCCAACCATAATAGGTGTGCAGCTTCAAAAGCAGCCCATTTCCTTAATAATGGAGTTTAAAGGGGAAGACAATACATCTGTAACAATAAGCAAACTATTGTCTTGTCAGAAAAACAGTGCAACAATACAGAATGTGCAAAGCTCACTCATAACAAATGACTGGTTAATATATTATTTCACATGATTTGACAGAAGCCCTTTCACATATTCACACAAAAGGCTTTCTTCACTGTGATTTGAAGGCTAATAATTTTCTTGTGAGTAACAAACATGGCTACATCATCGATTTTGGAAAAGCATGTGACAGCTCCTTTCCTCCTGCAAAGAATTAATGAAGCCAGTGATATTTTTTCCCTTGGTAAAATTCTGTTCAAAGTAGGTGTTAAGCAAAACATTCCACTTTTGGTTTCCATGGCTCAAGAATGTTTGGATGCCAGCCCTGTAAGAAGACCAACAACAACAGGCATTATGGCAACACTGGCTTCCATAATATCTCACTGAATACTATAAGCTTAAGCAGGGGTTTCACGGGCCTGACACTGGGCAAATTGACTGGCTGGGAACATAATTTTTCCTGCATGTTGTGACTGACATAAATCAGAATCAAAACATATTTTGCCTGCTTCCTTGTACATTTCCCATCACCTCAAAATCTTAATGAAACCTCTGCTTAAGAAAGTAATAATTAACACTCTAATCAGGTAAAGTGACCCTAGCCATGTCATGGCAGGAGTCTTTTTATTGGGCTTTGCAAGGTTAAAATTACAATGTATGTGCATGTCTTTAGCAAGTTTATGTGTGCTCTTGGTCTAAACTAATTTTGTACTTCTGCTTTACGAATTGTGAATGAATGTTAGAGGGACATTTTTAATAATGCACAGATAAGGTGCTCTAGGGTCCATCAGGTACAAATTACTTCATAGGTCATACTCATGTCTATAATTTTACATCGCTGCTAGATAACATACATGTACCGATTTATTTCCCAATTCCTGCCAATTATTGATCTATGAAATTGAATTTAGGCAAGCAACTGGCAGATCAAACTTAAAATTATAAACCAGAGTTTTAACCAGTTAGGCCACCATAGCCTTCTAACAGGAATATTGACTTGGAAGAGCAACAAAAAAAGCAAGAAATACAATTTTAAAATTTTCCTTTCTGACTTTGTAACAAGGGCAACCTATCCTGCTCTTAAGATGGCACATCTTTTATGAGTAGGGCTGAGAAGATGACACATCTTATACCAGTTTGTGTTTGCTCTTGTCACAAAAAAAAAAAAACAGTGCCCCACTTGGGGCAACAGTAAGCACTGGTAATTAATCATGTCTTATCAACAAAGAGAGAAGGCTATGGTCAGAATCATATGCATGTATCAGAACTTTTGTGATGCATTTGAATTAAAAGATACTCCACTGGTGTAGTGGGTAGAATATTTACATTCAAATAGACACATATATCAATTACAAGTCCATCATTGACAATGATTGTTGCAATTATTACCGGTCAAAACTTAAAAACCAAACTGTTGACTATAATTAAAACTGATGATTTAAAAACCAAAAAAATGCCTCATAAATAACACCATTAACATGCTTGTAATAAATTAGTTGTGTGGAATAACTGGAAGGACCTCTTCAAGAAAACAAATAGGGATAACAGTAAATAAAACTGGTTTTAATCAAGTAGATTCCCTTTGGAATCTGCAAGGGCTGGCTGGTTTTCTGTGTGAGTAATTAAAATTATTATTATTATATATTTATAGCAATTCAGTAATGGACCTCGGAATAAACTAACACACATTAGTACAGCTTTTTTCCTCTTATTTTTCAAGGGACAATTTATGACAAGACAATCTGCATCTTACATGTCAGCAATTAAACTTACCTAACAACTGCTTTGGGGGATTACGTTTGTCCGTAAATTCATCTACTTCTTGGAGAAATTGTTTCCAAAGCATTCAAAAGCCTAAAGTTTGATAAACACCATAAGTTTACACATCATGATGTGATAGAGGATTTATCAAGCTAAATTTAATTTCAAAATTGAATCGTATATCCACAATGAAACTTTTTTCTATGTATTTGTTACAAAACATAGTACTTTTTTCTATGCAAAAGTTACAAACATTGTAAAACGCTATTGAGCTCTAGAAATGAGCGCTATATTATAAATTTATGTTGCATTGTATTTGCAGTGAAGTCAATGAACATGTTGAGAGCGGTGTTTAGAAGTCTTCGTAGGTTCAAAAGGGTTCTCTTTGGCTTTAAGATACCGATATCATGCCATTTTTTGAGGAAATGAAGATAGCAAAGAAAATTTTATTACCTTCTTTTGATGTCTTCCTCTAGATTGTCGGATTCACCAGCGAAGATGGGAAAAACCAATGCAAAGCCGACACTTCAAAATGGCGGATTCCGTTCACGAACTACGCGATCTTGATTCCAAGTAACTATGGTTACTCGCGCAGTCCACGCGAATTCCGCGAACCTTGCTGGGGGGCACTGGAGGCGAAAATCATTTTTGACCCAGGGCTTAATTAACCTGTGTCGGTCCATTTACTGATGGTTTGTCGTAAAGGCTTGTGTGGTATCCCAACTTGCACTTGAAACATGGGCGACTTCGACAGTGGTTTGCCCCATGACCCTCATGCCCGCAGTTGTAACACAATCCATTTTCGTGAAATAAATTACGTCTTTTCTCTGAGGTGTTGTAAACATTGCAGGATTCCCCGCAGTGCCCGCCTCGACAGAAAAGACAAGAAGGAGCTCTAGGTTCACGCACGTTCTCCCTCTTTCCTTTTGAATACCAGTGCCTTTCTCTTGTCCGTGCGTTCCCCCTGTCAGCGGGAGAGGCGTCGTCCGTCTTGTTTCTTTTGAGCCATTTTTGCCTTTGACTTTCAATCAATTCTTTCATGCCCTATTCCTACCATTTATCGTCAACTCTCACAAGGTCGGGTTTGACTTGAGGTAGTTTCTTCAACATCGTCATTACGAATCCTTTTAACATGTCAGCCTCTTCCAAGGTATGCAAAGCGTCAAACTTTTTGCTTAACTGTTCATAGAATTCTCACACTTTTACGTAACTGTTCCCTTTCATTGGAGTCAAATTTACTATTTCGTCCATATGGGTGTTCTCCTTGCAATCTTTCCCATGCTGTCTTATACCCCACAGGACCCCGGGCTTAAGGTTGGAGATTTGTTCTCTTACCTTCGGAACGAACATCTCTAACAAACAGCCAAATTCCTCTTCGTCTGAGATCGGTCGAGTGTGAACTTGCGTGACGAACAAATTCTCGAATTGAACCGAGTCTGATGATTTCCCTCAAAAGGCGTAGTCTTTAACTTAGGGAGTTTTTGCCTGCGCGCCTTTTGCTGCCACTTCAATCTCCAACTTCTGTTCCGCTACGCGCAACTCAGTTTGAAACTCCTCCTCCCAGAATGCCTTCTCTTATTGTTGTCTTTCTCGTGTCACGCGCTCCTCCCGCCCCCGGTGAGCCTTCCATTCTTCCTCTCGATTTCGTCCTTCTTTTGTCTTTGTTTCGCCGAAAGCACTTCGGAAATTCTGTCCCTTTCCTGTATAAAACGAGCGAAGATGTTCTTCTTGTCCTTCTTCCATTACCGAACTTCTCGAAGCGAAACTCCAGAGTCCAACTTAATGCCTTCCAACTGTGGAACAAGACCGTAATTTTATCGCCGATCTGCTTCCCTGGTTTTACGGCAATTTCCATCTCCAAATAGTCGTTACTTTCAATTAGCTCGTCAACTGGCTCCGTGTAGTATTCCAGCTTTGTGATCTTTTTGTCAATGTTTCTCTCTGAACGCTCCATAGCATCTGCTACTTGTTCTCCCTCTTCCATGATCGCTAAATATTGTTTTCCACCGCTACGGCCGCGCGGTCAGTTCAAATCTTCTAAATTCCTACGTTGTTGTCTCCACAATAACCCTGATCCTGCCGCGCGTCAAATAGTTGTTTTATTGTTTATCGTCGACATTCACCATCTTCTAAATTCCTACGTGTCATATCACGCAACTTCCGTTTAGTTAATAGTTATGATGCAAAAATGTCTCAAAAGAGGTCAATAGACGGTTATCTCCCTGCTATTTCTTGGAAAAATTTTCCGCTACTATCTACCACAGGCAGACAATACATAGGGGAATCCTTGATATCGTACTCATCATGAAACAACAGTACTATAAAGTATGTTGTTCATTTGTGAGATTCTTGTAATAGTGCTTGGCCATGGGTTAGTGTTCTGATAACAATTTTTTAATCTTTAAAGGTCAGTTGGCCAGCATGCCTACTATTGCCTATGGAAGAAAAAAGTGTGTCCTTGAGGGTAAGTAGTCGGAGAGAATCAAAGAGAGAGTGTTCGATTAGACTTTGATCTAAATGATTTAGAGTCGGAGTGGTAAAAGAGAAGAGCGAAATTAATTTTGTGTAAGGGTGATTGTAATAGATAGATAAAAGGGGAGATCAGAAGAACATGTCGAGAGTCCTTGTTGCATTTCGCTAAGCGTGGCGCACTCAACAGATTTACATCTTGCGTGGCCTATGACGCTCTTCACTTTGTAGTTTTCTATAATCGTCAGGATACTCTCCACTGAGCTTGTGTTTCCCCATGGGTGTGTTCATAAAAACCAGACTTCAACTGTTTAAGAGAAAGAGCTCGCATTGTCCGCATGATCCGCAGCATGGTTTTGTCTTTCACTCGATGACGATGTTGAAAATGAGGATGATGAAGATGATGATCATAACGACGCTGATGATAAATTCAGTTTGTAAATGATATAAATAGAGATAGATGGATAGAGTTTTGTACCGCTTTCTTAGAAACAATCCAATACAGCCGAATAACTTTTGAATTAAAACAATAGGAAAAATCAATGTGGTACAATATATTCAATACGACGCAAAAAACTCACCTTGGAATAAAGCAACGAGCTCTAAGTATTCGAAGCGTTTGTGCTCCAGGTATTGTTCCAGGTTGTGAACAAGTGAAAATGACCTTGTGTCGCCAAGATTACCCAGCAACATCTTGCGCGCCTATTGAGAAAATGAACTAGTTCCAGATTGCGCGCCTACTTTGATCAAATCGAGATTTTTCCCCCAATACACCGAATTCATACTTGCAGTCATAAACGCGGGAAATTCTATATAATACCTCCTCGGCAGTTTCGGCTTAGGGAAGAAAAACATCCTATACATACCCGCGGCGTCTCTATGAAAACAGAATATCAGAGACCTCAACTGGCAGACTCACTCTCATAATACTAACTGCATTGACGCTTACGAAAAGAGAGAACATATCTATTGAAGCAGTACATAGTGGTTTCTTCCCGTAAACGTGATGCTATTGATGTGATTTATTTTGAGAATTTTAATGACTTATACTATGAGTTTGCTTTATCCTAGATCCCTATTACTTCTGGCTTTTTCTCCAGGCGGTTAATGGTTTATTCATCTCATTACTCAAAAAAAGTGGATTTTAGAAGAACGGTCTTTGTCAAATGGCCCTCCGGCTCCTTGCACGCAATTCTTTATTAAAAAATAGTGTTTCATAATGAACTTCAAAGCTAATTCTTAAGTTTTCAGACATGTTGCATGAACGAAATCCACCTGTACTAATTAAAACGAAGAGCGCTTTTTCTAGCTAGAATTATTTGAATGATCAACTTTGCACCACTTTCATCGCAGGAACGCATATAAAACCATTAATTCGAGTGAAATGCAAATTCCCCCGGCCATCGCATTCGTGTGAAAGAGTACACGCATTTGCGTGTATTGAATGGCAAAGAACGAATTAGAATACACCCATTTGGGCACACGTGGCTTATTCGCAAGTACATACAGTGATATCCGTGATGATTCCCCTGATGAGGTTGTCCGTAAAATTCAAGGACAATATCCTGGTGTGGGCATAACAATGCTTAAAGGTCATCCTAAAAGTCAAGGTCTCACTTTGCAAAGAGAAAGGAGTAGGCAGTCTTTACTCAGACTAGATCCTACTGCGGCTCTTCAAAGATGGCTTAAGTCGACCCGCCTTTTTTTATTCTGTTCGAGGTTTTTCACGTACAACGTTCGGCAACGAAGACGTGAGAAAACAAAAGAGTTCATGAGTAGAACAATAGCTCAGCACGAGCGTTTTAAAACTGTGTACATTTCCTAGCCGTCCTCTGCATAATAACAACGTGAAATCATCAAAATTTGTGTGATCCGCGAAAGGAAACCCCGACGGCAAATCATTTAAGTTTCTATTTGGGACTCAGCACGAGCGTTTTAAAACTGTGTACATTTCCTCGTGGCGCCGTAAGAAATGGTGAACACATCCTGTCATTCGAGAAATTCCGACTATAAATATATAGTCATTTTTAAATCGACGACTTCCTGGGCGTTGCCGTCCTAACTGCTAAAGGTCTCTAATGTACGTAGGGAACCTCGAAATAGATAATTCGCTAAAATGAGTTCCCTTCAACGTAGAAAGCGGTCATATAACAAGCAACGTACTATGGAAGTAAGCTGAAGTATTTTTTGTGAGAATTTGACGTATTTTTTAATTCCTTAGAGCGGTCGTAAATATTCCCATAGAAACTCTTATAATTTCGCCATAACTGCTATTTCGTAAGATGATCATCTCAAAGCTAGAACTTGGGCTGCCTGTGGTTAAACCTGATTAATTGAAAGTTTTAGCAGACTATTTGTGTGTTTCGAGCGCATGATTAAATGTTCTAATTGGATTTCAAAAGGCTTATATAAATGTTTGAATCACAAGTTGAAAGTTTACAATTAATATTGCAAGGTATAAGTTAATGTTTGTATGCTTGAATAGAAATTGATCAATTGAACTTTGGCGGTGTTGGAAAGCCATAGCTCTTTTAAAGGTTTCTTTAAAAGTAGCGCACGTGGGAAGATTTTTCCGAAAGGGACCCTATTTCGTTGACAGTAATCTTTAGATAAAGGACACAATTCAATAATATATGCGAACCTAATTGCAACTGAGATGGCGAGTGGCTTCCCTCACATAAAAACATATGGATATAATCTCATGTTAATTTTCCCTTAAAAACCCATGCAGAAATAAGTTGTCGAGGTTAAATCACAACAAACTAAAAGTGACAATCATTTTCAAACCCCAAAGAGAAGAGCTTTATTGTTATTATATTCCTAGATAAAAGGTTGAATACTGTTACAGTGTTGAAGCTGCGCTTGACGACAAGATCAGATGCAATTATGACCAAAGAATGACCTGGAAATCCCTACGTCAGTCTCGTTAAAGGATAAACACTTTGAAAACAGGGAGGGGAGTTGTTTATTGCCAAATAAGTAAAAAAAAAGCTCTTCAAAAAAAGCCCAACACCGAGACATCTCGTAGCAAGGAACACATATAACAAATACTACAAAGTAGCATCACTTACTTTTACCTTTTAGGCAGTTCAATACACAATACACTAAGGAACGGGGTCGTTCAGCCCGGCTGAATGAGCGGGAGCTTTTCATAGATAATTTGATACCTATCTCATCATCTCATCATGTACCGAGGCTTCTCACCCAACCAATAAAGATCCCAACACCACAACCTGTATATAAAAGTTAAAATATCGGGAGGAAACTGACTGACTTAAAAACGTACCCTCAAACAAGACACCAAAATGGAATTAAAAGTCACTTGTGAAAAAACCACTCAAACACCAGTTAGCTCAGTCAGATCCTCCTTCTTCCACTCTGAGGAAACCTAATTGTATTTTGGCATGATACGCTTTCCGTGCGCATCACGGGCAAAGATTGGGCAGGTATCTAGAGGGAATGGCCAGGGTCCTGCTTTCTTTTCAGCTTCCTTGGAGATCTCATGAACCCTCTTCATCAACTTCTCGAATGCAGCTCGAACCTTAGGAGTAGCTGTCTTATCTCGCATTTCGGCCAGTTTGCCTACGTACTCACCCATGGTTGTCAGATTCTTGAATGGACATCCCTCTTTGAAACTAGGGCAGTTTCCGGTGATTCCTTTCATTTCATCAATAAGAGCTTTATATGGGCACACACCTTTGCCAAAAACTGGGCAGTTCTTGACGATCTCTTCAACAGTCAAAGAATATGGATACTGCAGGTTCAAGTGAAAATAAAGTTCAACTAGAAAAGAGAATATTCACCAGGAACCAGTACACAACAGCTCAAATAAATCAGCCGTGAGCTAATCACATTTTTCTTTACTTCAGGTAATAGATTCTGTAGAATGATTTATGTTTCGAGCTTTGCTTTAAAAGTGGGAAAAACTCTAGACAGTGACAATTGTGTGGCATTGCTTTAAAAACTAAGGAATGGAAAGAAATACCCGCACCTTTGCTACACGCTAGAAAGCTCTTTATCGATGGTTTCCACTTAACAATTTCATTCTGAAACGAAATTACTTACCACAGTGTATGCAGGTTTCAAAATCTCCTTTCCTGCATTGTCTTTAGCAAAGGGACAGCCACCCTTGAAGAAGCTTGGAGGGGAGACAGTTCCGTGCTCTACGTGTTTTTCCTTACTAAGAAAGACGACGTCCTTCAAAAACTCGATCCATTGAGCTTCGCCTTTGGACTGGTCACGCATCTGACCCATCATGTCTTGAAGCTCACCCACGGTCTTGCATTGTTTGAAAGGGCAGCCATTGTTGAAAAGAGGACATTTGGCACAGATGCCTTTTTTCTCTTGGGCAAGCTTGGCATATGGGCAGCCACCACCGAAAAATGCTGGGCAGTGCTTTGATATATAATTTATGGTGACGTCTGAAGTCTGAAAGGTTGAAAGAAAACGGAAAATTTATTAGGGCTTAACGAGGCGATTCCTAATTTATGATGGCCGGAATTAAAAACATTTACTATTTGCCGCTACACATATAGCAGGTCACAGCTGTTAGACTCTCAAAATCGTGCTTAAAAAGCGACCGAGAACTGTGTTTGTGGCCAGAAAGAGAGAGTTTTGAGGTTGTGCACATCTCTTTAGGTACTTCTAATTTATTTCTTGAGTCCTCAACGATGTTATTATTTCTGTGGTGTCTCACATTTAAGTCACTGCATAGGTAAACAAGGTTCTATTTCGTCAACCTCACATATGAACCATGCACCTCACAGCCTCAAGGTGTTCTTTTTGTATCTTCCAAATTCGCTCAAATATATTCATCTCCACAAAGCTGACTAGGTTGACATCTTTTGAATGTAGAGTACAAACTTTTGCTTTGACTTTTCGATCAGCTTCTACTACAGCTAAAATTTTAACGCAGAGTGTGTTGCTCAAATACTACTTTAATCGCTGAAAATAGAAAGTTTTGATATATTGAAGTTCACAAGGCAACCAAGTGGACAAGGCAACCAAGTGGACAATCAGACATGCTACTCTGGTATAAAGATTTAATAAATGCAACCGAGAAGTTAGAAGTCTCAGACCCAACGTTTCGACATTCTTGTTGAGTGCCTTCATCAGGGATGATCTAATCGCTGCAACAAGAGGTCATTTTATATGCTTACTTTTTACCTGCCCTTTTTTCTGACGAGGTGTTAATAGGCGTCAGGTAGGAAGCCACCATCATCGATTTAAAGAAGCGTGGGCGGAGCTGATATGCCAGGCTTCCAAACAAAGGTGCTGATGGTAACGTCGATTAGTGATGATAATTTTAGACTTATTTCACTCTATTGCATGGTTAGTTAGGCATGTGTGCTCCTACAAAGCTGAATTTTCTTTTTCGCAAAAGAGGACCGCTTTTTGATGCTTTTTCAAACGTGTACCAAACCGAAGTTTGGTCTGTCCGATATACTCGTGATCACAGTCATTGCTCGGAATAGAATAAATAGCGTCAGTTCGTTGTTCTTTCGTAACAGGATTCTTTACCTTAGCAAAAATATGCCCTAAAGTCTGAAAAGGTTTTTGAGCAACTTTGACATTGTGGCTATTTAAAATTATTCCTTATAAGAAGTAACTAGCGACTGGTTTGGCTGTTATTCCTTATTTTCAAGGTGTTACGGAACACATCGAGAGAATTTTGAATAGCCACAACATTAAAGTGCCTTTGACACGGAAAATTTCTTTTCACGTAAACATTTTGCTTATTGTGTGCACAAACCAATTCCGATAGAAGAAAAATGTCAAAACACTTAAAAATCGGTTTTTAGGGCCCTAAAGTGCTCGTACTTTGTCTTAGAAGGGTCCCGTGGACTGGTAACGAATGAGTGAGTGATGACGTAGAAAACAGTGAAAACTCTCAGTTGACACTAACAAATCTGTCACATTTCTTGTAATTTTGTATCAGTCAGCGTTGAAATACTCTTGAAATAATGTCCGATAGTGATATCTACCTACCCTCAGCAAGCTCTACCAAGAGTTGTGATACATCGCACTCAAGTAGTAAAGAGGAAATAGAAGTTAAAGGTACGGTTCAGCCCTGCGAAAAAGAGAGGCGCGTGCATCAAACGAAGATTTCGACGAAGAGTGACGAAGATGGTTTCTCGTCCGCGGTGTTCAGGTTAAGATTAGAACAAAAAAAACTCCCCTTACTAAATGTTTAGTTTGATGCGTTCGTATGTTGTTTCCTAAGGCGAAATCTATGTTCAGAATGGGTCACTGTGTTCGGTTCTGTTGCCATAATATTTTATTCCTTCGCATTAAGTGCCGCGAAAGTTCCCCCAGGTCAGTGATCTCGAGTTTCGTTACTGTAGAGTAATTCTCTTCGCAAACCAAAAGCTAAATTTTCACGAAAGAATCAGCTGTATCACGAGGCACGGTGATTTTTTCGCCGAGAAGTCATCTGGCAGTTTCACTGCAAGTTGCTCCTTTCCTCGGAGAATGCAAAGGCAGAGGCTATCGTCGTCGACCCGGTCAAACGGAAAACGAGTGAGTTTATAGTCATCTGTTTCAAGTTAATCTCAATTAGGGATTTTAATAGAGAAAAACTTTCTTAGTTTAAGTGCAGCATTGCCATATGACCCATTTCGCTCAATGGCAAATAACTGACATCAGTGTTGTAAACGATTATTTCGTACACATCGACTTTCACACGGCGTTTGGATTCGCTACCATGTAATTCAATAAAATAGTTTTCTTTTAAAATTTACCTCGTTACAGTGCTGTTATTACCGGTATATGTGTATTATTCTTGAAGCTAACATCATTTGGCGCTCCAGCCACGCAGTACGTTCGTCTTTTTTTCTAGATTTCTCTTTTCTCCATCATAGTTGCCGACGTGTCTTCACAGTTTTCTACGTCACAGCTATGTAACATGATCGCGCTTTGGCCGCGCGCTTATTGGGGACACTTTTTGGCCGCCAAATCGTACTTTCAATGCGCAAAAAAATGGTCAAGGATAACTCGCTAGGCACTAAGGTCGGTTATTTCTAATTTCAAATACAGCTATCAACCAGAAAATGCGAAATAAAATTTCGTGCCATAGGTACTTTAAAGTTGCTCAAAAACCTTTTCAGACTTAAGTTTTATGAGCGATGGATTATATGACAATGATTCCTTTTGCGGATGACCGAGCAAGACGAAAGACGAAACTGGCGGGACATCAAGATATTGTTTATTGTTATAAAGAATTTCGTCTTGCCGGTTAGAAAGTGTTGGCTTTCAACGTTCTATGGCTACAATTTGAACGACTTTATCATCTACCTAACCAGGGGCATATCTTCTGTTTGTTTGCTTTAATGACTTAATAGCGGACATGTTGAATTGAATTAACGTAAAATGGACTAAGAAACTTCTCGATTATCAATGGGTTCATAAAAAGCCTGTGCCTTTGTCTTCTAGCTAATTCCCCTGTATTCTGGAAAGTCAAAGGTATGCAAAGGAAAGTTCGAAAGCGCGACATTTCAATATACTGTTTCTTGAAGCCTTGCGAGAGAACGGAACAGGTTCTCATCGTTTAGGTTTTCCTCATTTTAAACTCTATCAGTTGACATAAAACGACTGTTGGTAAGCCTGGCAGCAACGGTCTTACTTGGTCAGTTCCACACGACAATTCGAAAATAAAATTTGATTCATTCATGAGAAAACATTACTTTCATGAACTTCGCTTTTTTTTTCGCTTTTGTTAGTCGTTCAAAGAGCTCATTCTCTATGTAATTGCTGCTTTTTTCTATCCTACAAAAACCATGTAATGGACGGCATTATAAAAGACAGTAATTAGGGAGTGTCACACAGATTGAACATCAAATGCTATAGCATTTGCTCCTTAATAAAAATTTGAGACAATATTAAATCGAACCCCTTAGTCAACCTCACGACTGATTCACTTACTAGCTTAGTTGAAGCCATGAAGAGCTCTAAAATTTCTTGCAGAAAGACTTTCTTGCAAAAAGACTTCAAAGACTCGTAAGCTTTAGTAGTTCACACTGTTACTGACTAGCTCAACTGACTATGCTGGGGTTTCGCGTATCAATTTAAAAGTAAAATCGAGGCAAATAACAATGGATGATTGACGGATCAAAACAGATTGTTCTCGATCAAACAGGTTTTTCTATACAGGGTGCAATGAATCATTCAGTTCAAAAAAAGGTGATACATCGAATCGAAACTCGATGATTCATGTTTCGAGATTTGCTCTGAAAGTGGGAAAAACACTACACAGTGACAATTGTTTGGCAATGGTTTAAAAGAAAGGAAACGAAAAGAAATTGCCACACTTTAGATATTCGTTAGAAATTAAAGCTTTTTATCGACGGTTTCCATTTAATATTTTTATCATGAAACCGAAATAACTTACCACAGCGTATGCAGGTTTCAAAATCTCCTTTCCTGCAGTGTCTTTGACAAAGGGGCAGCCACCCTTGAAGAAGCTTGGAGGGGCGTCAGTTCCGTACCCTACTTGTTTTTCCTTACTAAGAGAGACGACGTCCTTCAAAAATTCAATCCATTGAGCTTCACCTTTGGACTGGTCACGCATCAAACCCATTATGTCTTGAAGCTCACCCACGGTCTTGCATTGTTTGAAAGGGCAGCCATTGTTGAAAGGAGGACATTTGCCACAGACGCCTTCTTTTTCTTGGGCAAGCTTGGCATATGGGCAGCCACCATCGAAAAATTCTGGGCAGTGCTTCGATATGTAATCTACGGTGACGTCTGAAGTCTGAAAGGTTGAAAGAAAAACGGAAAACTAAGGCTTAACGAGGCGATCCCTTATATATGATGGCTGGAATCTAAAACATTTATCATTTACCGCCGTACATTTAGCAGGTCATAGCGATTAGGGCAATATAGTTGTGAGGTTAGCGAGAAAACGATTGACCCAAAGCACTTACAAAATCATGCTTACAAAGCGACCGAGAACTGTGCGTGGCCAGAAAGAGAGAGTTTTGAGGTTGTGCACATCTCTTTAGGTACTTCTGATTTATTTCCTGAGTCCTCAACGATTTCATTATTTCTGTGGTGACTCACATAGGCAAACGATGCTCTATTTTGAACCATGCACCTCACAGCCTCAAGGTGTTCTTTTTGTATCTTCCAAATTCGCTCAAGTACATTCATTTCCACATGGCTGATAGGGTTGACATCTTGTGATTGTAGAGTACAGATTTTGCTTTGACTTTTAGATCAGCTTCCACTACAGCTAAAATTTTAACGCGGAGTGTGTAGCTCAAATACTAATTTAATCGCTCGAAATAGAAAGTTCTGATACATTAAAGTTCACGAGGTAATCAAGTGGACAATCAGACATGCTTTGATGCTACTCTGGGTTGAAGTTTAATGAATGTAACCGAGAAGTTAAAATTCATAGACCCAACGTTTCGACACCCCTGTCATGCAAGTGCCTTCATCAGGGGTGATCTAATCTCTGCAACAAGAGGTCCTTTTTATTTGTTCACTAATTAGTGAATAGGCGTCAGGTAGTAAGCCGCCATCATCAAAATTAAAAGATGCGTAGGCGGAGTTGAGATGCCAGGCTTCCGAACAAAGGCGCTGGTGTTGATGTCGAGAATGTTAAAATTCTAAAAGATAGGTGTAAAATGAAAATTTTAGACCTATCCCAGCTAGTTGTATGGTCAGTTAGGCATATGTGCTCCGACAAAGCTGAATTTTCTTTTTTGCAAAAGAAGACCGCCTTTTGATGCTTTTTCAAACGTGTACGAAACTGACGTTTGGTCTGTCCGATAGACTGGTGATCACAGTCATTGCACGAAATAGAATAAATAGTGTCGGTTCGTTGTTCTTTCGTGACAGGATCCTTAGGTTTGGCAAAAATATGCCCTCAAGTCTGAAAAGGTTTTTGAGCAACTTTAACGCTGTGGCTATTTAAAATTCCCCTAATGAGAAGGAGCCAGCGACTGGTTTTGCTGTTATTCCTTACTTTCTAGGTGTTAGGGAACCCATCGAGAAGTTTGAATAGCCACAACGTTAAAGTGCCCATGACACGGAAATTTTTTTTCACGCAAATATTTAGCTTATCATAGGCTGGTTTGTACATAAGTCGTATGTACAAACCAATTCCGATAGAATAAAAATTTCAAAACACTGAAAACTCGGTTCTTTTGGGCTCTAAAGTGCTCGTACTTTGTCTTAAAAGTATCCCGTGGACTAATAACGAATTAGCGGGTGATGACGTAGAAAACTGTGAAAACTTTTAGAGACACTTACAATTTTGCCACATCTCTTGTAATTTTGTATCAGTCAGCATTGAAATACTCTTGAAATAATTTCCGATAGCGTTATCTACCTACCCTAAGCAAGCTCTACCGAGAGTTGTGTTACATCGTCCGCGGTGTTCAGGTCAAGCCTGAATGTCAAGTTTGTTGCGTTTGTGTTTTGTTTTTTTATGACGAAATCTATGTTAAGAATTGGTGGCTGTGTTCGTTTCAGTTGCCATAACATTTTATTCCTTGTGTCGACGATCGAAACGCGTCCATTTTGGCCATACAGCTACAAGTCTGAAACACTGTAGAGTCGTATGATTCGTTCGAAATAATTCTCAATGCGGACATGGCTCTGCCTCTCCCTATTGGTTATCAAATGAAACAATAGAAATTCTTCATCTCCACAATTTCTTGCTTCTTGTGGTATTGAATCATCGGCAAGTTCCTCTATGAACGAAACAACAGCTGCTCTATACGCGACGGCCATCTTGTTTTTGTTTTTAAATTTAGCGCTAAATTTAGTGCAATTTTAGATGTTCATCGGATCAGCTGCGTTCCTTTGATGCAACTGTGTGATTTTGGATCACAAATACTAATCCGGATCCTCCCAAAGGAACGCACCCTCCATCAAAGCTCTGTAAGGGCCTATTTACACGGTACGACTTTGTCGCATGCGACAAGCTTACGACAGGCTTATGACACGAATTGTTTCGTGTAAATCAAACCTACAACTCGCTTACGACTCTTAAGTCATGTCGTAGGCCTGTCGTAAGCTTGTCGCATGCGACAAAGTCTTGCCGTGTAAATAGGCCTTTACATGATCGTTTTAGCCGCACGCCTAATGGGACACTTTTTGGCCGTCAAATCGTACTTTCAATGCGCAAAAAAATGGTTAAGGATAACTCGCTAAGCGCTAAGGTCGGTTATTTCAAGTTTTGAATACAGCTATCAAACAGACAATGCAAAATAAAATTTCGTGTCGCAGGCACTTTGAAGTTTTTCGAAAACCTTTTCAGAAAAAACCTTTTATTTAGGGCTTAAGAGCGACAGATTACATAAAAATTATTCCTTTTGCGGATGACTGAGCAAGACGAAAGACGAAACTGGCGACACATCAAGATTTCGTTTATTGTTATAAAGATAACGTCTTGCCAGATAGAAACTAGGGGCTTGCAACGTTCTATGGCTACAATTTTAACGACTTTATCATCTTCCTAACCTGTCGCATATTTTCTGTTTGTTTAGTTCTATGGTTTAATGGCGGACATTTTGAGTTGAATTAAATTAACATGTACTAGGAAACCACTTGATTATCAATGGGTTCCTACTAAGCCTGTGCCTTTGTCTGCTAGTCCCCGTGTTTAAGTGCCGTGTTTAAGTGTTCTTGATAGTCAAAGGTATGCAAAGGAAAGTTCTTATTAAATTTTTTAAGGTTGTTTGGGCCGAGATACCACTGAAACTGGTTGCAAAGACCAACCATGGCGTAGGTAGCTTTGATTTTAAGAGACGAAAACAAAAAGTGAATTGTCAAGCCATTACGATACTACTAACTAGATTTCTACATCGAATACAATCAAGAAGAAGCACGACATTTCAACCTACTGCTTCCTGAAGCTTGCGGGAGAACGGAACAGGTTCTCATCGAAAAAACTACATTGCAATCTAGGTTTTTTTCATTTTACACTCCATCAGTTAAGATAAAAATAGATTGTTTGTAAGCTTGGCTACAACGGTCTAACTTGGTTTTCCATACGACAACTCGAAAATAAAATTTGATTCATTAACGGGGAGAAAATATTGCTTTCGTGAACTTAGCTCTTTTTTTGCTTTTGTAAGTCGTCCAAAAGGCTCATTCTCGATATGATTGCTGCTTTTTTTCTACCCTGACAAAAACAGTGCAATGGACGACAATAATAATAAAATCATCATTCGTCAATCTCTGTTAGGATACAAACTAGCACTTGTAATATCTCCTTAGGATAAAAGAGTTTTAAAAGTGCAATATTCTTATTAGAAAAGACAGTATTTAGGGAGTGTCACACAGATGAACAGTAAATGCGATAGCTTTTGCACCTCAACAAAAATTTGAGACAGTATTTAATCGAACCCCCCGGTCAACCTCGGGACTGAGTCACTTACTAGCTTAGTTGAAGCCATGTAGAGCACTAAAATTTCTTGCAGGAAGACCTTCTTGCAAAAAGACTTCAAAGACTCGTAAGCTTCAGTAGCTCACACTGTTGCTGACCAGCTTAACTGTCTATGCTGGGGTTGCGTGTATCAATTCAAAAGTAAAATCGTAACAATGGATGATTGACGCATCAGAACAGGTTGTTCTCTTTCAAACAGGTTTTTCTATACAAGGCGCAATGCATCATTCAGTTCAAAAAACGATACATCGAGTCGAACCTCAATAATCCGGACCTCGATTATTTGGATTTCTCGATTAGCCGGACTTTTCTTTGGTGTCAATTTGGCATGAACTTTTATTAGACATGATTAAGATCCGTAGCCATATTCTTTTCAAAACTACAGCGTTGAAAAGTGAAGTAAAGGCGTTTGCGAGGTTTTCACAAAGTAAAAGCAGCGTTCACACGCGTCGTAACTAATAAAGAACATTCGAATAAGATCTGATTGTTTAAAGTTGCTTATTTCACGCTCTATTGGCTTGTTCGGTGTGATATGCAAGATAAACAAGCCACACAGCGTCACGAATGTTTATTCACGATCTTCATGTCCTAAAAGCGTATGCGATTCGTTCCTTCTATAAAAGATAAGCAGTCTATAAATTTGCGATCAGAGAAAGAAGAAAAAGGAACCAATTTGTCAGCTGAATATGGGGTTAGTACGGAGCAGATATCTGATATTCGCAAGAACAAAAAAGGGATCTTCTTAAACTTATCAATAATTCATAAGTTTGACAGCCAATTAAAAAACTGGCTAAATTCGTCACTTACAAGAGTTTTGATATCGCTTGAAAACACATGAAAACCACGTGTGTTTGATCACATATCAAAACCACATCTGGTTTTTATCTGTCTTCTCACTGAAAATCAATATTCATGGTCAGACAGAAACAAATTGAACACAAAAACAATACTTCAGTTTAATTAATCATTATTATTAATCGGCTTCCTGTTCATTTTTTTTTTGGTTAACAAAAATGTTTACATCACAATTCGTGAACGAAGAAGCATTCAAAAATGAAAAACCTGTCATCTGTCACAATTTAATTCTTCTTCCTTTTTTTCTGTCTCCGTTTCTGCTCCTAAATAAAGCTAATATCATGAGAAACTTTCTTCTCACATGTTTTCTCAGAAGCAAATAATGCATTACAACTGTGCCCGGTTCTCTCTTTAATTAATTTCTCTTCTACACCACCATTAAAGAGTTAAGAAACACGAGTGACGCGCAAACAATGGGCCGTTTTTCGCTTGCTTCCCGCAGCCTTGCACAAATTCGGCAAAATAGAATTCTAGGTGTTGATCTCTACGGGATTATTCTCAAAAAACACCATTCTCGACTCTTGCCTGAAATAGTACACTTCATTCCTTATGAAAAGGGTTTCAGCCAATCTAATCAACAATTGATAAAACCGTATTGAACATCGATCATGCTGGTGACCTAAGCAACTAAACGATTTAATGTTTTGCTTCCCACAGTTTCTTCTAAATGCCTTTAGATGTCACAGATAATTCTATTAAGGGTCCTTGCTGGATACACCTTTCCTTCACTATTCGCAACCTCCTAGACAAATTTACCCAGCCAATAGTTTAAAGTGTTGGCATCCATATTTGCCAAATCTCTACTCAACGACTTGACTTTGTACAAATCTCCATAATCTTTAAAAGCGCCACCAGCATCAAGTACAGGAACTTTAACTTTCCTATTCACCCGCCA